AGACAGCATATTTTCTCTTATCCTGAGCAAGAATAAAAGTCAGGGCCTGCAACAAAGCTGTTTTCACATGGGTATAGATTCTGGCTCTGGTTAAATCAATACATTAACAGTGAATTTATTGAATGAGACCAAGCCAAGGGATGGCCCAGTTTACAGATTTGACCTTGATTCACCTCAGCTCTCAAGAAGCACAATTAAGCTTTTGAAAAATCTTGTCCGTAGCTATACGATATTATCATTTTGCCAATTTTTATTCCTAAATACCTCCATTGTACTTAAAATACATTTTAACTTTCTGCTGGATACCCCCATCTTCTGTCTCTCCTAGCTCAAGAACAGAGAAAGGAACTTGACAGTGAAAATCATGTGACCTTTTTCTAGAATAGTCACACACACAGGATGAGATCTGGCTGCTCCGGTAGATGTCTGTCCATGGACGTCTGTCTGTCCACCCCATAAGACTATGAAATAGTCTTAAAGATACTTGCTAATCTGAGTTCAATCCCATACTTTCTCTTTTTCTTTATTTGTGAGTGTACCATAATCATAAATGCTTTGGGGCAGAGGGGAGGAGGAAGCGAGAAAGATGATTTATTTTAATCATAAGACTCTTCAAGGGGCTGGAGTGTTTGCACAATGGGTAGGGTGTTTGCCTTGCATGCAGCTGACCTGGGTTCGATTCCCAGCATCCCTTATGGTCCTCCAAGTCCCAAGCACCTCCAGGAGTAATTCCTGAATGCAGAGCCAGGAGTAACCCCTGAGCATCTCTGGGCGTGACCCAAAAAACAAACAAACAAAAAAAAAAAGAAAAAAACCCAAAAACCAAAAACCAAAAAACCCCCCAACAACATAAGACTCTTCAAGGAAGATTCCCCTTTGCTTCACTTTTAACCTGCCACTATCAAGGGTCTATGTCTGGCCCAGGGCAGAAAGGACAATCTGAGGCAAAGAACTTACAGATGAGCTTGCCTAACTGAGTTCCTGAGGAGAGGAGCAGATGAACATGGTGATAAGAAAGATCTAGAAGGAATGCTTTGCTGTGAGAGGCGTGTTCACGAAATGCTTGAAATTCATAACCTAGTTTTACTAGCAAAATGCCTATGGTTTTATGAAACTGGGAGCTGTTTATGAAGACACTCAGATGACGAATGAAGAATCTTCTTTGTTTTTGACCGGGCACTTTTATTTGCTTCTAACTGTTTAATTTCTCCCTGCACCTCTCTTTCAATTAACCTCCCTGTTTGCATTCAATGAGATGGCACAGACTATGGAGAAAGAGGAAAATCTCGCTGATTTATGAGTCTTCTTTCAGATAGTGGCAGTTCCTTTCATCCAGCTGTATCAGGGTTGGGAATGGGAACGAGCACACAGAACTAGGTGCCCTGAAAGAGGAAATATCTCAGACATTCCAGGCTGAGGGAAGGAGGCAGACGAGGAGACAGACATCAGATCTCTGTACACCAAACCTCAGGATCTTCAGTTCTAACAGCGTCAAGAGCAAAACAATGACTAACAGGTTCTCCACACCTTTGAAAAGGTTCAGCCTCTGGGATTTCTTTCTTAAATGCAGCAGGTTTATAATTTCTACACTGTGACTTGGATGCTGTGTAAAAGTTGCCGAAGAAAATGAAGCCATAATTTTAAAAAAATATGGGGCTGTGAAGAACCCCAGAAAGCTATCTGGAATAAGGGGAAAAAAAGAGTCATTTCTGACAGGGTTCCTGTGTTCTTGGACATTCAGGAAAAGTTCAACTATGGGAAGGTAGCCATGGGCCACTCCCAAGTTTGTGAGGACCAGCAGCTAGTGACTGAGTGACTACCGACTGGTGGCTTCACCTCAAAGTCCACTTCCTGTTTCCTCCACCATGGCCCCTTGGGTTGGGTGTCCATCAAGGATACACACCTGTCCCATAATTCACACCATTCCCCACAGCTAGAATTAATTCACTCTCCTGATTCTAGGAGATGGTAGGGCTCCAACTGTGGTGGGATGTGACTCGAGGCCCAATTCCTGCCCTGCCACAGCTCTGTGGGCATGCTGGGGTTCAAGACAGGGCCCAGGGAGTATAATACAACCTCTGTCTGCCCACAGTAAGACTTACCCAGGCATTTACCAAGGCCTTTTACTACCTTAGTGTTGGGCGACAAGAAGCCAAGATGTCAAAGACTCTTCAGATATAAGGTGAGAGAGAGGCACCTTAAAGACCCAGGTGCTTGGGACAAGTACTCCATAGTGTGGCAATAGACACCAGGGCAGCCTATCTTCCCCAGAAGGAAACCTCCCGCTGCTGGAGGCTGCCAGTCAGGAAAAGTGCGGCACACTGTGCAAAGACCCGAGTTGTAAAGCCAAGTAAAAGGTGAGTCACATTCTTGGTGTAAGGATGTTCTCAGATACAGGTCACCCCTTCTTGGAGTGACCCTGTTCTCTGTGTGAACCACATGATGTTTCTGTCCCGAGAGTTAATATGTCAGATGTATTCTCCACCCTGAGGGGTGAGAACCATGCAGACCGGACACTCATGGGATGTGGGATGTGTGGGAAGGAAGAGTGTCCAGGATGAAGGACAGCTCACTGATGGCAGACCCCCACTCTTATACATGCTTATTGGGGTACTTCTACCCAGTAACACCATACCCCCTTGTTCCACGACAGTATCAATTGCAGGGAATTCCCTAGAAGTGACCTAGTATAGTAAGAACCTGGTTCCACCTTGACTCCAGGACATTTCCACCCTATTGTCGTCTTCCTTCACCCCTGAAAAACCAGAACTAAGACCCCTAGTCTGAGGCCTGTAGAAGCTAATGAATTTGACAGAAATAGTGCTCCTCCATCTCTGCAGTATGGCCCCACTCTGACTTATGGAGTGAGTATTTGCGATTCTGAATAAACTATTCATCTTAGTGACAAGGCAGCCCACTCTCTGAGGACACCTGCACCCTGACCCTTGCATGTATGCTATGCCTCCATCAATCTTTTCTATTCTTTAATTTCTCTGAATTCTGTACCGCGTGGGTCAAATGAGCCTGGACCCAGAAGAAGACCCAACATTCAGGGTCCTGCAGCCACAGGAAGTGCCACTACAGCCGACCAGTCACTAGGCAAGAGCTCATGTTTCAGGGCTGAACTCTGTAAACTGCCGTGGGTGGCTCTCATCTCATTTCTGGAAATAAGGAATTTTTTCTCTCCCTTGGCACACAAATTCTCTGCTTTCTTTTGGAGAACCTGGGATTTACATGGTTAGGGCTGACAGGACGCCTTCCTTGACCATCTGCCACAAACACGTCAAGGATGAGTCACCAATGGAATGCCTGGCCTACATGTCCACGGCTTTCACTGCTGAGAACAGAGTCTGGGGCTGCCCAAGGGAGAGAAAGACCCACCTGGGTGTGGGTCTCTCCAGGCACCATCTGAAGGGCCTTTTCCAGAACTTTCTAGGGATGATGATAGCCTTGAGCATAGTGCCACCCAGGGTGGGGTGAGCCCTGGGACCCTCAAAGCAGATGTCAGCCATGCTGGCACCATGAAGACCCCATTGGCCATCAACGTAAACCCAACTATAATGAGTGATGTTTACAATTTCAATTTCTCCAAGAAAAAAAATATCCCAAGGAACCAATTCCTGCAAGCAAAAACAGTGATTGACGTAACAATTCGAGAAACATCAGAAGAGGAGGAAACCATTAAAGATACAAGATGCCTCTAACCCACTCTGCCAAACTGTCCCCTAACAATGAGGGGTGCAGCATTGTACTTCAGATGGGGGGAACTGTTGTAGGAAGGTGACATTTTAAAAATGAACACTGGACATTTTAACCAAAGAAGGCAGAAATTTATCACTTACTTTTGATGTTATTGTTTTGGTTTTTTTGGGGGCTACACCCAGAAGTGCTCAGGGCTTACTCCTGGCTTGGTGCTCAGGGATCACTCCTGGAGGGGCTTGAAGGACCACAGGCCATGCCAGAAATTGAACTGGGTTGGCTATATTGTATTTTCTTAAGACATGCTTTCACGTAAATGCTTTCATGTCAGTGATGCCAATGATAACATCAAGGGCACTTAATTGCTTGCAAATAGGTTCTATATATTTTCTGGATAAGTACCAATTTTCTGCTCACATTTTGGTGTCCAGAACTTATTTGCTTATTTTGTTTAAGCCACATGATATACTTAACGGCATGTCACCCATTTTAAATAATGTTAAGCACATATATTTGTCTAAGAGCTAGGTTGGGACATATTTTTTCAAATGTTTCCTTTGATCCTACAAAATCCAGTTCTGGAAAGCGAAACCTTTCTTCAGAGACTCAACTTCTCTCCACAAGCACTGGCGAGCAGTTTCAGAATCCAGAGAGGTTCCCCCACCGACCAGTCTTTGAAATGTTTTCCTTTACTTTTGGGTTCAGGAGTGCTCAGGGCTATTCCTGGCAGGGCTCAGGCATAACTCCTGGCAGTGCTTGGGAGCCTAGACGTGGTGCTAGGGTCAGTGGGATGCGAGGTGGGCAAGCGTCTTAAGGCCCAAACTGCATCTCAGGCCCCTGAAATGTTTATCATGTAGAAAAAAAAAAGAAACGCCACTCTAGTTATTGGTTGATCACAGTCAGGCGTTGCAATTACAGCCCCTTTCCTAAAGATTACCTTAAACTGCGGAACCAAAAGAACATCTCTGCATGTTTATTACCAAGCAGGAAAGAAAATCGTTTGCGTGAGTCCATTTTGGTGAACCTCACCAACACCCTATCCCAAGAAACAAAAAGCAAAATCCACATCCAAAAGGGGGATATTAAGCTCTGGTTCCTCTGTGCTCTAAAAGGAACTTGAATGCACTTGCATCTTCCAGATGCGAGAGCCACTGGAAGCAGAGAGAACCTTCTTTGCAAAGGCAGCCCCCTCTGCGGTAAAGACAGGGAAAACATTAAGGAGAAGAGTCCCCCCTCCCCAGGTGAAACAGAGTGAGGATGGGGGAGGGGAGGGGGAGGGGAGGGGAGGGTCTCCCGCCTACCGATGGTGCAGTGCTCCCCGTTCCACCCCTGACTGCATTCACACTTGCCGTCCCTGCACGTCCCATGCTCAGCGCAGCGTGGGTGGCAGGCGCGCTGGTTGCAGGCGGGGCCGGTCCAGCCTTCTTCGCAGCGACAGCTGCCCCCCAGGCAGACACCGTGCGAGCCGCAGTCCACGGAGCAGATCTCTGCAGAGGAGTCAAGGAGGGGGGGTGGAGAAGAGGGGGTGAGTGGGGACCAATGCAATAGAGACCACAGTGCCCCCAGCGCTCTCCTAACAAGCTCGGCTGCAGAGCACCCAAGGGAGACAGGTGCATTTCTTTGATTCATTGTTTGCTGCAGGGCACCTTGAGTTGGGTCTTGCCTGTGCACTGCGATTCTCAGAGGTGCTGTTGGCTGAAGCATGTGCCACAAGCACACATGTGTGTCCTATGCTGGCATGCCATTTCTGGGGTGTGTACTGTTTTGCAGACGTTCCTAGAGCAAATGGGCAGGGGTTACTACTGTTGTTACATACAGGACAGGACAGGTGGGCACATCCACACATGGACGGTGCCTAGGAAGGTTGGCTTTGGGCACAGAGACATCAGATTCACAGGGGTTGGTTTTAAGTCTCTGGAGTAAATGGACAAGAGGGGAGGGATATTGGCATTTTAGTGGAGGTGGTAAAACTGTACCCTTAAGACTTTCAAACACTCACTAGTCGCCTAACCCTATGTTGCAGCAATTAAAGATGAAAACAAATGATTTTTTCCTGTTCAGGTGACTGTGCGGCTGGTACATCCAGGGTGCCTGGCAGAACTCTGGTAGAAAGCAGTGAAATCATAGAGAACTACTGAGTATGTCATTTGAAAAAAAGCTTTTTATTTACTTGCAATCAGTCATGACTAGAAGGAAGGGACATAGGGGCAGGACTTCAAATTTAAAAAAAAAATAGACTGGGATCAGATGAATTAATTGAGGAAGACAAGGAAAGTGCTCTGGATTTTAATGTGCTTTTTTAAAATTTTTCATTTTGGGGACACACCCAGTAGTGCTCAGAGCTTACTCTTGGCTCTGTACTCAGGGGTCACTCTTGGTGTGGGTTGGAAGATTCTATGGGACGCTTGGGATTGAGCCTGGGTAAGGTTAAGAGCCCTACCTATTTTACTCTCTTTTTGGTCCTCAATTTAATGCACTTTTTAGGTGAATCTCTCTCTCTCTCTCTCTCTCTCTCTCTCTCTCTCTCTCTCTCTCACACACACACACACACACACACGCACACACAGACCCCAAAACCAAAAAAAAAAAAAAACAGAAAAAAGACTTTTCTATTTCATGTTTGGAAAAATTTAAATATTCAGAAATTGTCATAACAAAGAATCCGGAGGAGTTTGCAGCTGATACCCAGACATGCTGTTTGAGTACAGGGGTTATTTTTCCTGTTCAGGTGACTGTGTGGTTGTCACATACAGGTTGCTTTGCAGAACCCTAGGAAAAACCAGTGTAATCATATAAAGAACTGCCGAGTATGGCATTTGGAAAAGAAGTTTTTTATTTACTTGCATTTGGGAATGTCTAGTAGGAAGGAAAATAGGGGCAGGACTTCAAAAACGTTAGTAAGAGGTTAGGGCTGTAAAATAAAGGGGTGGAGGGAAAGAGGAGTATAAAAAGAATTCATGTGACAACAGTCCTTTTTTCCCCTTAAAAGGGGATGGCGAGAGAGGGAGGGGGGGGCAGAGAGTCAGAGAGAAAGAGAGAGAGAGAAAATATACTTCGATAATTTCTTCTTCTACCCTACCTAAATTTTCTAATAAACTGTTTTCTTTTTTTCTCCAATTTTTGGGTCACACACCACTGTGCTCGGGGCTGACTCCTGGTTTTGTGCCCAGAGATCACTCCTGGCGGTAGTTGGGGGCCCAGATGGGGTGCCAGGGATTGAACTTGGGTCAGATGTGTGCAAGGGAAGAGCACTACCCCTCTATTACCACTATCTTTTGTGAGACTGAAAGACTAGGGTGTAGTTTTGTTTTTTTCTGCAAAAATAAAGACGCTGATCAATAAACACCTGAAATGATTCCTAACAAACAATGAACCTCACAAGTGAATCAGAGCTTTCTTTGAAAATTAAAGTCAAGGAACTGTTGATATTTCTTATAAACACAAGCCAACACCATTATTAACAGGAACAGAGGGCATCTATTTTTTTCCTGCCACATTTTTCTATCTCCTTCGAATTAAATTTTTGATTAAGAGATCCAAGATGGTTTGATTAACTTTAGAGCAGCAGAACATCCACAAAGAAGAGAGGTTTCTTTCTGAGGTACCCTTTTTCTTCCATAGAATCAATTTTTCATTAGGGTGAAGGTGTTTATCAGCGTTTAACACACTCGCTTTGAGCAAGGTACGTCAATCTTTGTAATGAACTTATTAATTAGAGTTAATTTAATTGAAGTGGAATTGAAGAGCTAATTAATGGACAAACTGCTGATGAAGATAGAGAGAACCTCAGTGGCTTTCAAACCTATAAAACGTTCAGATGCAAAGAATTCATTTCTTTTCTTTGAGCAGCTTAAGCAAATGTTTCTTTAGTTGGGACAGCTGCTGATTATTGAATTTAGATATCTGAAGGTCACTGCTGCCATAAGCAAGGAGGGAGCTGGGAAGGTGTTTTGCTTTTGAGATTCGGTCAGAATGATATTGAACTCCCAGTCACAAATGGCCACCAGTGGCAACATGACCATAAACTTTAAATGAGACCACCTGGAAAACAAACTGGGGGCACGTGAACCTAGATATATTCACCGGAGGAATATTCATGTTTGAGATCTTTACAGATAACTCTAAGTTTACAAATGATTTCTAAGCCATTTTGCGGCTAATAGCAAAGCATAAGAGAGATCTTAAAAGTTATTGAAGAATACTGTATTCATTATGCAACTCTGTATTCAGAGCCGAACATGTGGAAGCTTGTGTATTAGGGATAGAAAGATGAACAGAAGGACGCTTTCTGCCTACTAACCAGAGTGGTATTTCGTATACCGGAAAAATTCTGTATTTTAAACTAGTGAGTTAATTAAAACTTTATCAACTAGTAAAACATTTAGTTGAATATGCAACATTTGTGTAAAATATGTGATCTTTGTTAGCAAATGTAATCTTTCAATTAACATGCATACTTGCCATTCATAGAATTTATAATTTAAAAGATCAAGTTACCTTTGGAGTTCTTTAATATCAATGATAAATAATCTAGAAGACTTTTTATAATTAGAAGATCAAATTACCTTTGAAGTTATTTAATATCAATGATAAATAATCTGTTAAATAGCTTTAAACAAAACCTAAAGTCAAATATTGTTTTTTCTACTTGGATAATCATGGCAAACCAGGTAGAATGAAAAAATTGTCAAACTAGCATTATTTTATAATGAGTATTAGTAAGCCAATTTCATTGATGTATGTACACAAGACCTAAATCAAATTCTCTCTTGTATTTTGATTATTTCTATAAACCTTAGATTTTTTTGGAGTGTATTTCTTATTATCAAAGTCTGAAATGCAAAAAAGATAAAGTCAAGAGGAATATAAGCTAGACACTTATTCTGGTTCCTGTGATTAGGTGATTTATTTGTAAGAATAAATAACAACGCAAGCCAGTGTCACAGGCCTGACCTCAATGAACTGCAGCATCATCTCCTCAGAACCGTCAGTTGGGCAGCTGAGCGCCTACGCTGGAACTCTGATTTACCTTCCATGTGTCATTTGCTTTGGCACTCAAGAACTTTCTAGACAAACTCTCTGGTTCTCCAAGATAATTATCTGAATGAACTAATATTTATATGAAGCTGTAATACACACTATAAGCTCTGTCTGCTAAGAAATGAAGGAGGGGTGGGGAAGGAAGGAAGGAAGCAAGGAAGAAAAAGAGAGAAGGAAGAAAGGAGGGAGGCGGAAGGGAGGAAGGAGAGCATTTAGAAGCAGAAATAAAACTTCTAAGTTGACCCTTTAGAGCACCTGCTATGGGTTCATTGGAAGCTTTTCTTCAACTTAGCTTAGATAAAGCTTCCTTGTGCCATCAGGGATTTTATTATCTCACTATGAAAATGGAAGGCTCTGTGTCAAACCATTCAACAATCAGAAGACCGCTATTTGAGTGTTATTCTCATCCTGTTTCACCTTCCATCGCCAAGTAACCATTCTTATTCAGGCTTCTCTGTATGAGATGTGGGCTCAATATGCCACAGTCCTCAGGCCTGGAGTGAGGAGGGCAGAGAACTCTCCATGGTAACACCAAGGGGGAACATTTTCATGACACACCGATTAAGCTGGTATCTTTCACACGGCAGCACTATGCCACTGCTTTTAGCACTTATTTCTACTTGCCCTCCCTTTAATCAAATCTGTCTCAGATACAGTGTTGTCATAAGGAAAAGTCCTTCCGCCCTGGCTGCATGGACCCCTGCACCAGTGCTCTATCCTTGGGTGCCTTACCATTGGAGCAGTCGGGGCCTGTCCAGTTGGGGTCACACGTACAGGAACCACTTTCTTGGAGGTAGGTTCCATGGCCAGAACATTGGTCTGGACACATGGTCTTGAGTATTTCACAGTTGCTCCCACCCCATCCTGGGTTGCAGTGACACTCCCCGTGGATGCACACACCATGGCCAGCACACCCGGGGTCCAGGCAGTCGGCTGGGGGAAGGAGAGGAGAGAGAATAAGCCAATGGTTCCATGGAGAACACAGCAGACTTAGGACACACAGATTAAGTCAAACGGGCATGATCAAAAATCTCATTGAGGGGCCAGAGAGATAATACAATGGGTAGGGTGCTGACCTTGCATGTGGTCAACCTGGGCTTGACACATCCTATATGGTCTCCCGAGCACCACTAGGAGCAATTCCTGAGTGCAGAGCCAGGAGGAACCCTTGAGCATCACCAGGTGTGGTCCAACAACGCAAAACAAACGAAAAAAGAATCTCACCGATGGACTGGAGACATAGGGCAGTGGACAGGGTGCTAACCTGTACATATCTGACACGATTCCCATCCCTGGCACAGCTAGGAGTAAGTCCTGAATACCGCAGGGTGGCCCCAAATTCAACAAGCAAAAAAATCCCAAAAACAAAAACACCAACTTGATAAAAAAACAGTTGGGATCGTCTAATCTACCTTTTCCAAGAATTACTTTTTTTTTTTTTTAAAGAATCAGTAAAACATGGAGAGTCATCCCATTGAGGGAATGCAGACTCTCCCAAGGATCTGTCACTTGCCCTGTATCTGAGATGCATGCGGCTGGGTGTTGCTGAATCAAAGAGATGCTAAGTCTCGGCTTCTCTAAGGAACCCACATCCTCTGACCCGGTCCACAAACACTGGGTCCTTGACAGCTGCGAGGGACCCTCAAATGGAGAAATAGATGAGGCGCCTCTTCTCTCTCCTCCCTAATTCACTTTAATGTGCTTTAGATGACGAGATTTAATTTAGCAATTTGACTCAATAAAACTTTACACTTGTAGGGTCAATGGCCTGAAAATTTAATTCCAGGGACTTAATTGCATTACTTTGTGTGTGCAGATCAATAAAATCAATTTGATTGAAGAACGGAAATGGGCCTTCTCTGCTTTTTTGAAATAACAATCCAACTGCCCATTACAGCAGAGTTCTGAGACTGTGACCACACGTCTCACTCAGGGAGCAAAGCCGGGACACCTGGCCTGGCCCCCCAATGTGCCACGGCCAACATTTCGTCAGCCCAGAGAAACCACAATGCGAGATTAAGAAACCCTCATAGTTCACATTATAAAAACTTCACGTGAAAAACACTAAAAAATATTCAGAAAATGATTGATGCTAGAGACATAATACAGGGGTGAGGGCACTGGTCTTGCATGTGGTTCGACTGTTGGCATCACAGGGAAACCCCTGCAGGCAGTGCTCCCTGAGCACAGAGCCACAAGTAAGCCCCGAACACAGTGGAGTGTGGCCCCAGAAGCAAAACCAAAAGAATAAATTCTTTATTCTATTGATAAAGAGCAAGGTGACACTTTGGCTATCTGTCCATTTCCTTAGTGAAGATGGGGTAAAGTGAAACATCGTGGACCCCAGTGCACAGGAGGGAAAGTCTGGGGATCGGGGTGCTACCAGAGCACCTGAAGACCCTGATTTGAAGCTCCTGCACCAAGGACCACCAGTGGTCCTGAGCACAAAGCCGATCATAGCCCCCAAACCAGCCCCTCTGGAAAAAAAACCACCAAAATGACTTCCTACAGAGGCCTAGAGAAAGACTTCTAGGCCCCTGTCATGATTAAAAATAGAATCTGGAGAAGGCTCAAAGGACCCGAGCACAGGCTGTGCTGATGGGGGCTAGAGTCCATGGCCAGTACCATATGGTCTGCACCTCACCCCAAGCATCACCCCCAAGCACTCCTGGGTGTAGCCCAGGAGAAGCATACAAAACAGGGCGACTGTTCTCAAGGGGGACACGGGCCACTGGCACACATCCTGAGGGGATGTGGCACCCCTGGGACACATAGCGACTAGTCCTGAGGGGACATGGGACCCCTGTGAAAAACAATGACTGTTCATGAGAGGATGCAGGGCCCAGGCACACATAGTAACTATTCCTGAGGTGGACACAGGTCCCTGGCACACACAGCGACTGTTCCTCAAGTGGACACGAGGCCCCACAGCGACTGTTTCTGAGGGGAGGCAGTGCCTCAGCACACACAGCTCACCTTCCTCACAGTTCTCTCCTTTGTACCCCGAGTTGCAGGCACAAGAGCCCATGATACAGACCCCGCGGCCGCCGCATTGTGGGTCGATGCACTGAGTGGTGGGCACGTCGCACTCGGTGCCCTTCCAGCCGCTGAAGCACAGGCAGCGGCCCTTGGAGTACTGCCCGTTGCCGCTGCAAAGCACGGGACAGGCGGCTGGGGGAGGAAGCAGACAGAGGCTGAGCAGAACTCCCGGGCCAGCAGGATCCACCACCAGCCCCCCCCCCCCCCCATCCCTCCCCTCCTCTCCTCCTCCTCTCCTCTCTCCATCATTCTCTCAGTGACGCCTGTTCCCCTGGCCTGGTGCCCTCCTGACACGCAGAGCCCAATGCACGCAACATACCTCTGGAACAATCTGGCCCTAGGAACCCTGGGAAGCAATGGCAGGTTCCGGAGACACACTCTCCATTGCCGTGGCAGTTGCGGGGGCATTCTACCACAGACTCTGCAAAGAGAAGGCAGACTGAGGTCAGTGGGCTCCCAGATCTCAGGAAAGGAGTTCGGGAGAAAAGGACCCCCCAACACTCCAAGAGTTGAGGATGTTTTCATTCTGACCAGTCAAACAAAGCATCACAGTGGTAAAGGCTGAGTTTCTTGGGCCCCTGAGAAATGTGTCCACCAGTTACTTTCCTTGGTTTCAGAGGTTACCATGCCTGGCTGCGGTCTGGGCAAAACACAGGGTCCAGACAGAGCAAGTGATCGCATCTTGGGGAGGGCAACTGCCTTGCATACTGCAGACTTGAGTTCCAGCCCTGACACCACATGTAGTTCCCCACCATATCCAGGAGTAACCTTTAAGCTCAACTGGGTATGGCGGAGAAGTGAATCCCCTTCAATCCCCCAAAAGTTTCTGATGATGGTTCTTTCTTTTTTTAAAAAAAATATTTATTTATTTTGATGAATCATCGTGAGATACAGTTACAGACTTACAAGCTTTCATGATTGCGTTTCAAACAATGTTTGAGTACCCATCCCTCTGCCAGTGCTCATTCTCCACCACCAATGTTGCCAGTATCACTCTCCTGACCCCCACCCCCTACCTCTGTGGCAGGCACATTCCCACTTACCCTCTCTCTCCTTCTAAGTGTTTTGGTTCGCAATACAGGTACTAAGCAGCCATCATGTTTGGTTCATAGTCTACCTTCAGCATGCATCTCCCATTCTGAGCGATTTCTCCAACCATCAATTACTCAGTGGTCCCTTCTCCATCCCAGATGCCTTTTCCCCCAGCACATGAGATTGGCTTCCAAGCCATGGGGCGAACCTCCTGGCCCTTATCTCTACTTGAAGATGGTTCTCACCAATCACGATGGTGTTGAAGGACACCTGCTCTGTGTTCTTCCCGTCGTTATAGAAAGCCAGGTGCCAGATGCCCGAGTCCAGGTACTGGATGAAGCCGGCCTCGTGCAGGCTGACCGACCTGGCCTGCCGGCCCGCTCTCTCCGTCTCCAGCAGGTTCCGCTGCTCTCGGGCGATCAGCCTGCTGCCATCCAGGAGTTCCACGAAGTCGTACTGCGGGGGATGGAGGGCAAGGAAGGCTGCTGAAGGGGACGGGTGTGAGCAGCTCTACCTAGGCGGCACTGTAGGTCACCTGGAGCCACACTTCCACATGTCTTCACTTCCTCCCCCGAGTTTGAGGTCTGAGGAGTTTAGGGCAGGGCTGGGCTGTACCCACAATCTACCACACTCCAAACCAGGGCTTGTAAAATCTAGGGTCACTTCTCCTGGGGACTTCACCTGGGGAATGGGTTATTTTCAATCCTCCTAGTGATCTGCCTAGTGATCACACCCTAGGACAGTCACTAAAGAGGAAGGAGCCAGGGCCAGAGAGACAGTCAGGGGGAGGGCAGGGCAAGGCACCCACCTTACTCTAGGCTGTCCCAGGTTGGATTCGTGGTACAGCAAAGGTCACCCCCCTCTCCCTATCAGCAATGCCAGGAAGATTCTTAATTACAGAGCCAGAGTCTTCAGCAGCCGTGGGGGTGGCCCCCAAACCAAAATGGTCAAAATGAAAGTGGAAAGAGCTATAACTTGAAGCTAACCAGGCTTTGGGTGGTGGGGGAGGGGAGGGAGGAGTTGGTGAGTGGCATGGCTTCTACGTGGCCTCTCCTGTGGCTACTGCTCCATTACCATCTGTGGCCATTAGACCCAGGAGCAACCAGCTGGCACCATGGAGGAACCCAGAGGTCTGTGTTTTCTTCTGTTCATTGGTTTTGGATCAAGGTAACCTCAGTTTACAAGAGTGCAAATGTTTGTGTGTATTCAAGGCCACGGTCACCACCCAAATGCCAATGTGCCTCTTCCACAGTTCATCGGACCCCTTTCTCCTCTCCCCAATTCTTGGGTAACCTCAGGGTTGTTATTTACTTTTTTGGTGGGGAGCGTAGAGAATAAACTCATGGCCTCATATACGCAAGGCACATGAGTATATGTTCTCCCCTCCGCCCCAGCACCCCCAGTCTCAGCTGTGGAGTCAGAGTCTAACAGTGTCTTTCCCGTTCTTTCTAGCCCACTGGTGAGTGGGAACATGAGTATGGAGAGCGCTGTCCTTCTGACTTATTTCGCTGATCATGACTCCTCCAATCCATCTCAGCTGGGGGGAACCTGGAGTGTCCACTCTCACTCTGACCAGCGTTAGAGCATATGACAGAATGCTGTTATGTCACCAATCAATTTGAAAACACAAAAAGAAGGCCAGGATTCAAAAAGGCTCAGGAATATTATGGAAAAGATTCACAATCATTATTATGATCAAGTCAATCACCATTTAACTTAATTTTTGCTTTGTGTTAAACCTACATGAACCTTGGGTAGTTGGAAGTATTTCACTAGAGATGTTAAAAGTAACAAAAGTATGGAATATGACCGGAAATTGCAGGGTAACATTTTGCAAACAGATATATTCCATAAATTTTTTTGGGGGGGCACACTCAGCTGTATTCAGGGCTTATTCCGGGTAGGGATTGGGGGACCATTTAGGATGCCCAAGGTAGAAAATCAGTCAGCCATTTTTTAGGAGGCATCTGCCTCTGACTCTAAACTGGTAACTTTGAAAGACATTCTAAAAACTTGCCAGTATTAATTTTAACAATTGTTTTAGAAGGCGATTTCTTAAAAGCAGTGTAATTTCATCTGCACAGAGTCATTCATGGTTTCATTTTATTACTGAGATTTTAGAGTTAAAAGTAAATCACAGTACTATACATAAAAATCATCAATATTCTATTTTCTGATAGATTCTGTAGATGGAATTTCACCAGAAGTCTATTTTAAAAAATTTTTATTTTAGGAGTCCTTGATTACAATCAAACTAGACTAAAATCAGTCTCGGGAATTTATGAGAATAACGTGTTTTTAACAGCATGTTGTCATTGTACTAATAGCAGACTTCTGTTACCACCGGGCAGAATTTAGACTATTTGATTGGCTTCCAACTTCTTAAAAGTTTTAAATAGCCTCTATGTGTATGTGTGTGCATATGCATTATGAGACCATTCAGTGTGTAAAAAGTTAAAAATAAAACCTACCTGCCACCACTTCTGTGGCATGCAAACATTTCTTTCGTTTGTATCTTACAAGGATGAAAACAATGACTGGTGTGAATATCTTGCCTGCAAAACTCTCACCAGATTTTGATTTCAAAATTAGTAACCTCCCCTCCAAACAAACAAACAAACAAACAAAAAACAATGTTTTTCTGGGGTGGGAGTTGGCCACACTTGTTGGGCTCAGAGTACCACATGGGGTGGCGGGGATAAAACCCAGGTCAAAGGTTACAAGAAAAGTGTCTTACCTACCAGTGGTACTATCTCTACAGCCCCCAAAGCAGTACTTTTGAAAGGGGTCTCCAACTCAATTACCAACCAAATTCTCAACAGATTTAAATATTTCTAATCACATGATAGAGACTGTGGAAAGAAAAACATTTCCTGGCTCAACTGCTTTCAACCTTTTTCTTCCCCCAATAAAACTCAGTAACTCAAAAAGTTAAAGGGAGGAAATTTTGATTTTTGTTTGTTTTTTGTCTGTTTGGTGTTCAGGGGCTATCCCTGGCTCTGTGCTCAGGAGTGACTCCTGGCGGTGCTCAGGGGAACGTGTATGGTCCAAGGGATCAAACCAGGACATGTTGCGTGTAAGGCAAGCATATTGCCCCATACTATCTGTCCAGTGTGGAAATTTTGAGGGTTTCTTGTGTGTGTGTGTGTGTGTGTGTGTGTGTGTGTCTGTATTACACCCAGTGGTGCTCAGGGTTACTCCTGGCTCTGAACTCAGGAATCACGCCTGGTGGGTGGTACTCAGAGGATCACATGTGATGCTGGGGATTGAACCTGGGTTGGCCGCAGGCAAGGTGCCTTATTTACTGTATTGTATCTCCAGCCACAAAATTTTAAGTATTGACTGAACTGGGCTTCCAATGCATAATAACTTTATTAATGATCAGAGAAATCACCACTTATGACTCAATGCAATGCAATCAAGCTGGGGTGTTGTATGGAAGTGTGGCGTTTCACACAACCTTCAGGCGAATTAATCTATCACCCAGAGAGAAGGTGCTTGTATGGCTACACACATCTACAAAAAGTGACCAAATTATTTAGGGCAGAAATATTTAATAAGCTTTGTTCTTAGGATATAAAGTAACTTCTGCAACAAACGAGTTTTGTCTTAAAAAGACTATAGATAAGATGGAGATATAGATCTTTTTTTAAAGGGGGAAACGGATTTTAAGATTCTGTGTTATATTTAGGGTGAAATTTTGACTATCAAAGGGTGTTGTCACAAGACAGAGCTGTTGCCTGATGCTGGTACCAGGGTGATTTGTTTTGGGACAGACAAACTATTTGGATAAATAATTTCATGCTTACGTTGATGAGAATTCTGAGTCTGTGAATACTTCCCAATGAGCAGAAACCAAGTGTGTGTGTGTGTGTATGTGTGTGATGGCTTGATCTTGAGGGGCATGACGGGAATATAGAGGAGAAAGAGATTTTAGAGATCACGTGATTCAGGCGTTCATTTCACAGATGGAAGCCCAGAGAAGTGAAAGCCGCAGGTCATCAGGTCCAGCGGGGGGAGGGGTGTGCTTAGAACCCAGGGTTTCAGGGACTCTATGAAAATGGGCCTCATGCAAATGTATTTAAATGATACTGTACAGTTAACTGGTAAGCGTTAAATTGCTTCCTTCAGTGTCTAACTGTCCTGGAGAGTGAATCGGGCCTCAGGGAGAAGAAAGTCAATTGATTCCTTGGCAACAATCAAATGGACAGTTTTATACAGGGTCACAAAGACTTTCAAAACTCAAGTGACTATTGTGAATGGCTGGACAATTTTAATTATTTCAGGTTGATTCATTTAACGGTCCCCAGAAACAGAAATGTTCGATGGGAATGCTTCAGAGCATTTTTCATGTTTAAACACTGAACGCAGAAACAGTTGTTTGCTCTGCTGATCTTGAATACACCAGAGGAAAGAACTCTAATAACAGTGCTGCTTAAGAAAGGTGGGACCCACTTAAATACTATACTGTGGTAGAAAAAGAATAGGGGGGGATCATGTACATGGTGATGAAATGCCTAAAGAATGAGGAACCCGAAAGGGGCCCTTGGTTTCCCTAATGCTAAGTGGTACAGAACTTGCAAAGACTCAGCCCCAGATTTTAGATAAACCTTTAAAGTTGTACCACACCCAATACTTTCTTTTCTACTTACTGAAATCATTTTCTGGAATTTAGAGCTCATGTGCTCACAGGCTGTGCTTACTTAAAGGTATCTTTCCTGAATTATATCAAAACAATTTAATCATTTGTAGGTGATTCTAATGGAAAATAATGGTTTCCCATTTCACTGGACTGTTGCCTTAAATACAATTTATCTGCAGTAAATCTGGCTTCCATTGAAGAAAATCTGATTATGACATCCTAGTTAGTGTCACCTATAACATAAACTGAAATCCAAAGTAATTATCATCAACTTTATATGAAACTGTAGTACCCAGTGAAAAACAATTTTTTGAGCAATTACAAAAGGGATTACTTTTAATGTAGAAATAAAGTATGTGAGAACAGAAAAATTAATGCATCAAAGTGTGTTTTAAAAGTTTACAGCTTTATAATTTATATATGTACATGACATATTCTTAGACCACAACAGCATGCTCTAATTTTCTTATCCTTCTTTGATGATGCAGTTTTAAAAATCATTGTATAATTCATTTTCTTCACTATTTGTAATTCATATTTCCTCACCATTGGTAAAATTTTTTTAAAAATCAGTTTCACAAAATTCTGTAATATAAAGTATCCATGAAACTCCTCAGGTCTTCCTTTTATAAATCAAATTCAAGTCAGCAAAAGATTTTATAGGTAGATAAATTAATTATCTAGTATAACTTTAAACTCATCCAATTAACCATCTATCACACTTTTAATGGATAAATTTGTACTTGCAATGGATTTGTAATGGATCTGGGGAAAAGTCCCAATTTTATAGTAAAAAAATATAAGCAATTTCTATTAGATATGATAGGTCCTCTTTAGAACCATAGTTTTCAATTTGCACACTGTGGCACCATCTGAACAAGCAGTCTGTGGAATCATGGCCAAAGGCTCTCTCTTGGGCCCATTACATCATTTATTACAAAACAGAATAAGCTCATCTGGAATCATCACCAAATCTCTGCAAAATCCTTGAAAAATCCATTGTGCTTCACTCACTTTTCAGATGATATTCAATATTCATTAAATTACATTTTAATCAATCACTAATGATGAAAGTGGGATGGGGAGAAAAAAAAATCTGTTCTTCCTACTAGTTTCAAAACCTCAAGATAAAGGTAACCTCCAAACTTCTTTTTCCCATGAATGATCAATATGAAAGTGACCAAACAAGTTAAACCGAGAAACAGAATAACTTTAAAAATGCAAACTAGCAGTTTTCATTTTATTGACAAAAAAAAATTAAAAGCCCACTTTTACCTGAGTATGGGAAGGTGGTAAGCCTTTTCGGCCATATACTCCAATCAATGCATCCTTCTGAAGAGAGATATTGAATTTAAGAAACTGGGGCTGGTCAATAAAGAGCTGTGATCTCCAGAAGATGCCGGGAGGAACCTCTTGAATTGCTCTTCGGCCAATATCCAGTTCTCCAGAATCTATGGTGTTATTTTCCTGTGCAAATCCACCTAATTTTCCTGAATGTGAGAGATTCATTGAAGAACAACTCAAAATTAAAAAAAAGAAAACATTCCAACTAAGACTGGTTTTCTTTCCAAAATTTCTTTATGCTAAATTCTCAGGCAGTTCACTACCTTCTGACAAATGAAATGTTTCCCTGCCATTTTCCATATCTAACAGTGATTTTTTTTGGGGGGGGAGGTAGATTTTGCTGTTCAACTAGTGTATTCTGAATCTGCATGATCTTTTAAGTTATTTACGTTGAAAATGCTTGAATTCCCCCAATGCATACCTATTACAGAGGCTGCTTTCACACTTACAGTCTTTCCTGATCACCTGAAATATAATTATCTTACAAACTGTATGTCTCATTATTCCTTGGGAGAGATTACAGTTATCCACCATATACTATAACACTACAAAATATAAATGAAGGCCAAATGGATTATGGAGATTTCCAAATCAATCCTCAAGCAAACAACAAAACCAATCAATGGCATGGATTCATGTGGTTTACTCAACTATCTGTTGGAATGAATGGCAAATCAGCTGGGCAAGAAGATGGGTGGAAGGGGAGAGAAGGGGGAGAGAAGAAAGGAGGGAGGGAAAGAGAAAGAGGAGGGGAGGGAGGGAAGAGAATGGAAGGGGAAGGGAGCACCAGGGTTTGGATGGATGCCACTTTAACAGTTCACTTCTCAAAGTCACTCTTGGAGGCCACTTTTCATCATCCTCTCCATGACCTTCCTTCCCTGCCTCTACAATCAATCCCTCCTCAGCCATTTCCTCTTTCTTAGCATGATCTGATTTTAGGAAAGAGGCCACTAGAATGCCCTGCCACATAGGCAGGGTGGGATAGGGGGAATGGGGGGTGGGAGGGATACTGGGATCCGTGGTGGTGGGAAATGGGCACTGGTGGAGGGATGGGCATTTGATCATTGTATAATTGAAACCCAAGCACAAAATTTGTAAGTCTACAACTGTACCTCATGGTGTCTCACTAATAAAAAAAATAAATTAAAAAAAATCATTATAGCAATTCTAAAGTGAATAAAATTTTCTAAAATAAAAAAATGAAAGAAAACAGGCCCCTAGATTATGCTTTTCTGCCCTGGAAATGGGGGTAAGGGCACTGCACTTTTTGCTAAGAATATTTCTCAATTATTCTGAGGCCTTTAGTAATAGGTGAGATGTTTATAATTTGACTTTGAAGAAAATAAAGTCTCATTTTAAGGATGTAAAAAGGGTAGACAAAGATTAAACAGCAGATTAAATTTGAGCAGATTATCTTGCATTCAAATCAATTTTTTTGGTGGGGAGTTTACCTAATGATCTGGGAAGAAGAGGGGGAACCATGTGGTTTACGGGGGTCAAACTTGGGGTTCCTGCATGCAAAGCCCAATGCCCCAGTCCTTTGAGCCACCCATAACCCCAGACCTATCAAATCAATCTTTTTAAAGTGACAAACTTGACTTACTACTTAAGTCTTTTTTGAAACATTCACCTGACTACTAATTCTGGTATTATTTAACATAATGTCCCATACATTATATAATGGCTTCCAGAGACATTATAACTTCGAAATTTAGAATGTTAGCATCATTTGAATCAAGGAGCTAGAAGCTTCCTTATTTTAATGAAACAGGAGAATCATCCAGCTAACTAGGGAAACTCACTGACTTCACTGATTTTAGTTCTGAGAACCTGTTGGGAATGAAGAACTGAGGTGATAAGGAAACACAAACCCATGAGGAGAATCTTCAAGATGATCTACTCTGCCTTGTGCGGCTTCTGTCATTAAGCCAACTACAACCCTGGTTTGGCAGGTAATGTCCAGCACAGCGGGTAGGGCATTTGCCTTCCACGCAGCCAACATGGCCGATGCGAGTTCAAGAGCCTGGCAAGCTACCGAGAGTATCTCGCCCTCATGGCAGAGCCTGGCAAGCTACCCGTGATGTATTCGATATGCCAAACACAGTAACAACAAGACTCATGATAGAGACGTTACTGGGCCCGCTCGAGCAAATCGATGAACAATGGGAGGACCATGACCGTGACTTCCGTCCACAAAGAGACGCACTGAGACAAAAGCTAATGCCAACCGACGACCAATCTCTATCTGTAAAAGGTGCTGTCACTGTAAGCTGGAGATGATGGGAATTTTCCCAAGAGTGAATTCCTGGGCAAACTTGGTAGGACAGGCGAGTCAGTTTCTGAATTGGGGATCATCGTCATCATGATTGCAAAAGCATGGCTGTGAGACTGAACATAAGTGAGGGGCCATGATGGGGGGCACTGGCCAGAAAAGATGCTGAGCAGATTTTTCAGGATTGGAACCACAGATGCTTGAGACTTGGCTTTGACCCACCATGGCTGTGTGACTTTAAGAAAGACACAAATAACCTGAACCTGAAACACCTCCTGTAACATGGGGATAGTAACAAGGCAACCACAAAGGAAAGGACAACATGAGAGACAAGGGAAGGGACAACATCAGAGACTGAGTAGGAGGGAAGTGTTTGGCTCTTAGTGGACATTGAAGGGAGAAGGCCATTAGTGGGAGGAGGTCCCAGAATGTCAGGCTAAGGAACTTGGTCATTACCTGTGGCTTTTCTTTAATTTATGGCTTTTGTACTTTCAATTCTATCAATGAATTATTTCATTCTTTTCTAGGAAGATCCCCATATGTTTACTAATATTAGTGCTATGATAAAGAATAAGGCGTGGTCCAAGCAAGTGAAAACAGAGATAGACAAATGGGACTATCTTAAACTAAGAAGCTTCTGCACCCCAAAAGAAACAGTGACCAAAATACAAAGACAGTCTACAGAATGGGAAAGGATATTCACCAAATACACATCCAACAAGGGGTTGATATCAAGGATATACAAAGTACTGGTTGAACTCCACAAGAAGAAAACATCCAACCCCATCAAAAAGTGGGGCGACGAAATGAACAGAAACTTTCTCAAAGAAGAAATCCAAATGGCAAAAAGGCACATGAGAAAATGCTCTACATCATTAATCATCAGAGAGATGCATATCAAAACAACAATAAGATATCATTTCACACCACAGAGACTGGCCCACATCCAAAAGAACAAAAGCAACCTGTGTTGGCACAGATGTGGTGAGAAAGGGACACTCCTTCACTGCTGATGGGAATGCCGACTGGTTCAACCCTTTTGGAAAACAGTATGGACGATTCTCAAAATATTAGAAATTGAGCTCCTATTTGACCCAGCAATAGCACTCCTGGGAATATATCCCAGAGAGGCAAAAAAGTATAGTCGAAGTGACATCTGCACTTGTTTTTTCATTGCAGCACTGTTTACAATAGCTAGAATATGAAAAAAACCTGAGTGCCTGAGAACAGATGACTGGTTAAAGAAACGTTGGTACATCTACACAATGGAGTACTATGTAGCTGTTAGAAAAGATGAAGTCATGAAATTTACATACAAGTGGTACTACTGGAATATATCATGCTAAGCAAAATGAGCCAGAAAGAGAGGGACAGACATAGAAAGATTGCATTCATCTGGGGAACATAAAGTAACAAAATAAGAGACCAACACCCAAGAATAGCTGTGATAAATACCAGAAAGTTCACTCCATGGCTTGGAGGCCAGCCGCACACTCTAGGGGTAAAGGCAGCTCAGATAGAGAAGGGAGCACAAAATAAAGGGTGTTGGGAGGATCCTCCCAGGATGGGAGATGCAAGCTGAAAGTAGACTATAGACCAAACATGATTGCCACTCAATGCCTCTTTTGCAAACCACAGCACCCAAAAGGAGAGAGAGAACAAAAGGGAGTGCCCTGCCACAGAGGCAGGGTGGGATGGGGGGATGGGGGTGGTTGGGAGGGATACTGGGATAGGTGGGGGTAGAGAATGGGCACTGGTAGTGGGATGGGTACTTGATCATTGTAATAACTGAAACCCAAGCACAAAAATTTGTAAGTCTACAACTGTACCTCATGGTGTTTCACTAAAAAAAAAAAAAAAGAATATGGCATGGTCTATGAAACAGATGCCTGGCAATAAGTGAGAGAGGGAGAGCATAAGAGAAGGATGAGAAGGACAGAGGTGGGGTGAGGACGGGGAAGAGAGAGAGAGAGAGAGAGAGAGAGAGAGAGAGAGATAGAGAGAGAGAGAAAGCAAGCACATGTCCTAGAACAAAGATAAATATGAATATGGCTGATTTCCAGGTATAGCCACTGGAGTCTGGACTAATTTACAACCCATTCAACTTTCAGATAAATGTGAGGTGTAAGGGAGAGTTATTATATGTAGGTGTTGGGTGTAAGTCTTCTACCTGGACTATGTTAGCCTACATGAATACATGTAAGATGGGCTGCACAGAACATTGAGAACTAAGCAGAGACTCATTCAAGATTCTATCAGGTGAGCAGTGAAGGGGAATGACTGTTCTTGGCTTCCACTATAAGAATATGGGAATCTTGCTAGTAAAGAGATGACAAGATGTAGTAAAGGTGAAAGATCTATGAGATTCGAAGAGAAACCAGAAGATGGCTTGGGATATTTACACGAACCCAGTAAGGAGTGGTACAAGAAAGCTTATTTATCATCTCATTTTCCCTCTTTGATCCTGAAATACATCATCAATGGCAGGTAACAACCCTTCAACTCACACATTAGTTTTCCTTGAACCAATTTAATGACAGAAAATGCTTTAGAGCAATGGTTTTCAACAGCTGGCCCAGGGCCAGGACACAGCCGTGGAAAGGCTGGAAACCACTGCTATAGGGAAAAAAAGTTCAAAAGTGACTTGTACTGATCCCTTCCTGTATTGATGTTATAAACTATATCACTGATTGAATTTTTAAATATTTGTTTTAGGAGAGATATTCATTTTAGCAACATTATAAAAGAAAATGAAAACTTAAAAATGCATTATACTACTGACTTTAATCTGCTTCCTTTCTACCCGGACATCATTCCTTGTTGTTAAAAATTTAAATACCTGAGGCTCATTTTTATGTTTCCTTTTGGATACTT